CATAGTTTTGGAGACAGAAAGATTTGAGGGGCACCATCAATTTGGCCTTTTGTGAAAGACTCAGCACGAATGACAGAATTGCTGGGTACTATGCTACAGAGAGAGATCACATGACCAGAGGGAGGAAAAGGGCTTCCTACTAGGCTCTATCTCTTAAAGTTCCAGCACCTGTTAATATTGATTGCCACATTAAGGATTAAGATCCTAATACCTGAACCTTTGGCAGACATTGCTGAAATATAACCAAACCACAGAACTATGGTCTGTTCTGTTTCACTGAGTAATTCACTGGGTGAGAGTGGATTAGAATAGAGACCCAGTCACTTCATCATAGAAATGTGTTGTGAGCAAGCTGTAAGCATTTGTTGCTGAAAAGCCACTAATATTTTGGGATTATTCATGACTGTGCATAACCTAGAGTATTCTTACTTATGGGGAAATGTCCCTATAATATCCTTATAAATTACATATATCTGTTCAATTCATCTATGTTTTTCCACGTAAGCTTTTACAGGACTCCAACTGAATCTGTTGGACAATATGATTGAACTTGGTTTGCATGACCTAAAAATCATTTCAACAATGACCTCCTCTCAGCATTGGTTTGAAGTATCAAAACAAAATCTATACAATATTACCTGGGAGGAAGAAAGGTTGAGATAAAATTAATATTAGCTAAAGGCTTACTGTTGAACCAAACCAGGTGCTCAGAACATATAATTTATTTATGTATTTATTATGTATTTGGTACAAGGTCTCACTATGCAGCTTGGACTTGTAATGATCCTCTTGTCTCAGCCTCCCCAGCACTGGGGTTACGGGCGTACGTCACCATGTCTAGTCTCAGTGGCCAGCTCAGTGAACCCAGGGGCAGGGCCAGCATGGCCTGTGGGGCCAGGGATTGAACCCAGGTCCCTGTACTTGCCTAAGCAGGCACTTAGTCCTGTGTGCTATCTTGCCAGTCCTAATTTCATTTATTTTTAAGACAGTTTATTATCATCTTTATAAATGAGAACATGAAGCCCATGAACACAGTTAGTGAATGTCAGCAATGGAGTTTAGAGTTCCAATTATATACTTTTAAATCTGTGGCAATAATATCAATTAGGACCTTTAACAGCATGAACAGAGGGTATTGCAGTGGAATCAGGTAGAGGGGAATAACGAGAGAAGTAGGGTTGTAAAAGGAAAGATTTGGTGATGGTGCCAGGAATCCAAGGATAGGAATGTTGGTAGCCTTCTTGGTTAATTTCAAAGACCTAACTTTGAACATTTCAGCTTTGATCATGAGCTCACTAGCAGAAGCTTACATTTATAGTTCTTCAAAATTACCCACCCCTGGGGACAGGGATTCCTCAGACAGAAATCGAAGGCCACTGTCACAAAAAACTGTGTGTGTGTGTGTGTGTGTGTGTGTGTGTAATGGGTGAACAATTATGTCTTTGTTTGGCTGGAGAAAAAAAGTCTTCTTGTCTTGACATAATTATTCATAAAAGCTTTTTCCTTTAAAATGTCCTGACTGCAGTATAAATCATAGGCAGTCACTGTGTAATAATCCAGGGATATAACCCTATTACTTATCTGGATCCTCAAGTGGATGAGATGGCACATTTCATTCCCTGGAAGGTGATAGTGGAATTGTTTATCTGTAGATTTGCTTTTGGTTTAGTTCCTGAGAGTGTATTTCTAAATTTGTGAATCATATTTTTATCTTGTTAGCTATTATCTAGTTTTACCAGGTAGAAGTTTTAGAAGTCTCTTGTTCATGAAAAAGATTATGCTGTTTCTGTATGACATACTATACCCTCTCATGAGGACTAGGGATGATGGGACTAGAATATATTCCATGCTTTGTGTGGGATTTTACTTAAGAGGTTGTGGCCTGAGTGTGTACATCAAAGGAGACAGGAGTATAGTTCCATGAGTATAGTTCCTATACATTCAGCTTTCTAAATATCTTTTGAACCCATCTAATTTTTATATTTTCACTACTAGTACTTTGATTCAAACTGAAACTGACACTGAGATGACTACAAATACCTCTCAGTTGGCATCTGGGTTTCCACATTGCCTCTAGCCAAGCCATGTATCACAGTCAGCATGCTCTTCCCTAATGAAAGCCCAGTTATGTCAGACCCCTGCTGACAACTTCTTGTTGCTCTTGGCTGAAGTCCAAATGTCTTCATCTGGTTGACACAACCTGACTTCTCAGCCTCCTCCCTCACATTTCCCACCTTGCACTCCTCCCTGATTCTCTGGGACCCAGCTCTTTTGAAGAAGGTGTTCCTTCTCCATGAGCACCTCTGCTTTCTTACCAACAGCTGCTGCTTATCCTTACCTCTTACCATTTGTAAGAATCAACTTATTAACAGCTTATCTACATGGAACACTTATTTACATGCCAGCTGCCCTGCTAGGGATTCAGGTGGAGTATCTCAAGTGGTCCTTTCAGTAATCCTAGCTCAAGTAGGAGCTACTATTATTAGTATCCAAATTGTAAAGATCAGTGGGTGGAATGTGCACATAATAAATGTCTTGCTGGGGTACACTAGTAAGAGATAGAGGATGTGTGAAACCAATACAGAACCTTTTTCTTTAACCCTGACCTACATAGCTTTTCTACCATCACCAGGCAACCTTTCATTTCCCAGACCTCCCAAGTCAGCATTAGGTGTCTCTTCTTTGTACTTTCATATTGAAAAACTTTGTATAGCATAATACTCACCTCTCTGCACTGTAATGGTGTTATCTGCTTTCCTTTTCTTCTGGAGCACAAGATTGAGTTTAGTAATCACTTCACTTTCTCTAACTCATGCAGGTACAGTTTTTATAATACAGTCGATGCTCAACATATGTTGATCGAGGGGATCATTTGGATGATTAGAACCAAAATGTATTTAGTTTTTGAGGAGTTACCAAATGTTTTACCCATCCTCTCTCTACACCTCTCTATATCCTTAGGCTATTCTCCTTACCACCTGCCTCTAAGTCTTTGCTTGTGAAGTTTCCTTCATGGCCAATCTCTCCTTTGTCCTCTATACCAATTCACATTGTTTTTCCTTCAAATACCACTAGGGAACAAATCTTTGCAGACTTACGTATTGGCTTCCCTTATCCATATCTGTTCACCTGAAGACTGTCTACCCTGGCATATTCCAGGACTGTTTATTCCATGGCATAAATCTGTGCTGTCCTTCAAAAGATGTTTTTCTGCCCAGAGATGTAACTCAGTGGCACTATGCCTCCCTGGGTTCGATTCCCAGTGCAAAAACAACAAAAATATGTTTTTTTTCCCCTCTTTCAGAAGACTGAATAGTACCAAAGAATAAATGATTCCTTTACAACTAGTAGGAAACATTTTGATGAACTCCAGTTTTGGCCAATGAGAGAAGACTTATAGGTAAATTCATTAAGGGCCTAAAAAGGAAGAGACATACTTTTCTTCTTACCTCTCTTCACTGTTAAGAGGTAGACCAGAACTCTAGTAAAGCATCTTGTACTATGAGAACCAGAACTATACTTCAGAGCTGGTGGCATGACACACTACATGAAGCCAGGGTTTTACGTAACTTTGTACCTTTTTAAAAAGCATCTCTAGACTGTCTTCTTTTATGTAAGTAATAAATACATTTACCATTAGCTTCTTTTAAATAGCCAAATCTAATTCTGATATTGGTCTAAGGAACATTCCACACATGTTGAAACTTGGTGGTGACTCTCTAGCAGGGAGCAGCTGCTATTTAAAAGATATTTTCAAGAGAAGCTTCTACAGTAGGGTATTTAAAAGTATTTAGGGTTGTACTTGGTGGCACACATCTTCAATCCCAGCACTTGGGAGGCTGAGCCAGGTGGTTCACTGTTGAGTTTGCAGCCAGCCTTAAAATGTATAGTGGTGGTGGTGGTGGTGATGGTAGTGGTGGTGGTGTGTGTGTGCGTTGAAGCAGTGTCTTACTGTATAGTTCAGTCCAGGGCTGAACTCAAAGCTCTCCTCCTACTTCAGCCTCTTAAGTGCTCGAGTTACAGGAAGGTACCACCACACCCTTGGTAGGAGTTTTACAAGGTGTCAGACATCAAAGGCCATATAACTTGTCAGGCACACTACAGATGCTGATATTTTATTTTTATTTTTTAGTACTTTCCAGCCAAGAACTACTAAAGACAGAAAACTGTAGCAACCCTTTCCCCTAATTTTGGTGAATAACTTTTCTCTCAGTTCTGTGGCAGTCTTTCCTCAAGCATTCTCTCTAGCCCGTGTTTTGACCTTGTACACACATGCAAGGGGGATCTGGGCAAATGTTAGAGCTGCTGGTGACAGGTCTGATTCTTTAGTTGCCTTAGATTGCAGTCTGATCTTCCCATTCTAGTCAACCTACTCTCCCATCTTTGTCAAATCCAATAAAATTGGTTCAGTTCTAAAATTATCTTCCTCTCTAAAGCTACAACCAAGGCAATGATGTAGGACTTCCTAAGTCCTGTCCTCAGGACAAACCTCTCACACATCACCACTGTATAAGTTGCTTACTCTTTCAGATCTTCCTTTTATTTGGCCTGACTTCCTAAAAGCCCTCTACCTACCTTTCTGTATACATCTGTAAATACGAGTATTTGAAGGTATAGAGAAGAGAGGAAGAGAGTGATATTTTGTGTTAAAATGTAACTGTTCCTGGACCAGATCCAGCCTTGAGATAGTCCTGTGTCTTGAACTCTTCAGATTTCTCTGCCTTAGAAATTTCCATCCTTCCATACCCATGTTATTAGCCCTGCAGACTAGTAATACCCAACCCTTTGCATTCCCCACCATTAGTGGCTCTACAAAAGGTACTCCTTTTTTCTGAACTGAGTAATGTGTTTGCTTTCAGCATAGTTCTCTAGGCAACCTTTATTGCCAAACTAAAGTTGGCCCCAAAGCACTGTAGTCAGCCATATCCAGGCTAGAACATAATCACTTTGAAACAGTAAAGAATTATTTAGCCTTTCTGTTTTGAGGATAACATATTTATTCATATGAAGCATTCAGAACAGATCATAGCACATGAGCCACTCATCAAATAAGAATTATTACAAGCTTCAGTCTCCATGAGAGTACATGAAGCTTACAAGGGCCTCCAGTGACAACCTATGGTATCTTCTATATATATCTGAATTTCAAGAGCTCATGTACTACATAAGATTGCATTAAAAATATTTACCATTTTCTGCTGGCTCTTAACCCCTAGCAATATCCTCCTATATCCACATGCTTCTCCAAATTCTCCAGTAATGTCTCCATAAACAAGTCCTTACCTTACAAGCGAGGGTTACATATATCATTTTTACCTCTGGCTTCATTGGTGATCTTTGTAGCAAAGGGCTCCACTGCTTTCTGGGATGCACTGAGATTTCTCCCCACTGTCCAATTTTCCTTAGAAGTTTTTAGTTTATAGAAAGATATATGCTATATAAATCTTTTGGGACTTCAATATGTTGTTAAAATCCAGGCATATTGTTGCATGTCAGTGTACTTCATTTGTTTTTACCATACCATCCATTTGTCTAACAGTGGCCACCCTGGGTAGTTCCTAGGTTTTTACTCTTACAAAAGTACTAGAAAGTTTATTCTTGCTCATATTTCCTGTTCTATACCTCCCAACATCACACCCAGCCATAAACCAATCAGTGAACTAATCTAGTATCATACACCCATGATTGAGTCACCATTTTACAAATAAGCCATAACAATAGTAGTCACTTTGGAAAGATTAAGATCATGAAAAGCCAAATGAAGAAACATCAGTTCAGCTGTCCTGGACAGCATTTCACTTTATTATATAAAATATAGAAAGTCTTGATTATGAAAAACAAAACATTCATCAGAATTGTAAGAATTTTCTTAGGAAAACATTAGCTGAAGTATACCTCTGCTTCAGCTATGGTGGGCACTTATCTTCTTGATAGTCCCTGTCAAGCTCTAGGGACACGATAACTCCTTGATCTCTCCCATTCATCTCTGAGCCTTGAATTCTAAAAACTAAGAACAATATTCATAAAAGAAAACTCAGAGATTGGTCCTTTTTTTTTTCTCAAGTACAATAGGAGCAGGAAAGATAAAAATTCCTGAAAACATAACTTCTGTTTATTTGGCCTTTTTGGCTCGTGGCTCCAGTGTGGAACTGAGCACTCCTCCACCCTTCTTCCACTCACAGATGTCTGTGTAGTTGCACCCCCGACACTTCCAAGCCTCTTCTATGTCAACCCCTTGAGGCTCTCGGTGGCCTGTCCAATAGGCAATATAATGTTGTACCTTGCCTCTCACCTCCTTCTCTTCAAAGGCTACAATCTCTGTACCTAGCACAGTGGCAGTCTCTTGGTGGACATATTCAATCTTTAGGCTATCAATTACTGGGAGGTCAGACACAGTGAGAGACAAAAAGACCAGCTCTATGAGGTCACCCAAAGACTTCACAGCAAAACCTCCCTGCTCGGCATGCCTCAGTACAGAAGGCCCCAGTGGCTTGTCTGGACATAATTTTGTGTGATGAATTAGGCTGGCAGGGGTCACATTCCCTTGCACCATGGCATCAAAGATATATTTGTACAGGCTTACTTGAAAATAGTCCTTTTTCTTCTGAGCATCCAGAGGGAGCAAAGGGCGCTTACGTGTTTTGAGTTCAGTCAGTTCTAGTTCTCCTTTGGCTGTGTATTGCAACTCATCAATCACACCAACAAGAAACACACCCTCCACTTCCCCAAACACTGGAAATTCCCTAATGCACCCTTCTGACTGTAGGGTCGGAATCATTGTCAGTATATTCAAAAACTTAATTGCCCAAGTATCCTCTTTAGTAGTGATAGGGACAGTCACAAGATCATGAAGTTCTAGTTCTCTAGCTAGATGGATGCTGGCACCAGTGTCTAAAACATCTGCCTTTTCAGGTGTCAAAAATCCAGGAAGCTCCTTCCCATATACCATTTGCAATTCACACCAGTTCTGAGTAGACAGGTCAGTTACATATAAATATTTTAGGTGAAATCTTTCCATGGGTGACATGATATCCAATCTTCTTTTACAGTTTTGTAAGCTTATAGGCTTGTCATCCGTCCCAGAAAATTCAGAAGGGCCAGGCTTGCTAAGTGAAGCACTTGACTCTTTGGCATCTTCCAGGTCCACAATCTCTAGGAGCTCTGAGTCACTCATGTCTGAAAACCCTGAGGCTTCTGTTGACATCATCTCCTCTTCCCCAGTTTCTGCCATGGCACAGCTCTGGCTCAGGCAAGGAAGGCCCTGCATAACATATTAAAGAAATGCACTGTCCAAATAAAACACTCTCAAAATGTACTTTCTAATTCTAATGACAGAAAAAGAATCAGGACAAATTACTGAAATTCTTCAAAGAAGTTTACTTATGACTATTCATAATGCCAAAGAACACTTTATGAAGCTGCTCTTTATATAATCTATATATGTTTACATGGGGCCTGCGAGATAGTATAGCAGAACAGCACCTGCCTGGCAAGTGCGAGGGCCTAAGTTCAATACAAAGACACAAGACTCACTTTATGCTTATGTGACAGACTTTTCCCCTACCCCTTCAATGCTGGCAACTGAACCCAGAACATATGCTAGGTAAGCTAGCTACACTGCTAGGCCTGCAGAATTTACTAAAACAGATTTATTCTGGATCTGCTGCTAACATTGTGTATAACTTTGAACAAATAACTTTTAGATTGCCTACTTTGCTTCAAAAGTCCGATTTGTGATATTATTTTATTACTGTTAAGTGACAATAGATCTCTGTAATTGTTGGAACATGTTTGATATGTTTATAATGGGCTAATTTTACAATTACTTTGATATTACAGTCCTTCCTAGATCAGGAAAATAAATCTCAATGATACATTATTCCTTGGAAAAAATTTGTCCCACAATTACAATTTTTAAGCACATTTCTCAGAAACATAGGAAGGCAAAATCTAAAGATCAACTACAGGTAAATACAAAGAAACCTACTCATACACAAATTAATATATGAGATAACAATTGATTTGACAGTGGTGTGGAAATAATTAGCTTTTCATACTTCAAGTATATTAAGGAAATGACAGAGACAAAGCTCCTAGTAGATCTTAATTTACCCTTACAGACTTTATAAATTATCCTCCTAACACTATAGAAATTGATGTTTTCCACTAACTTTATTCTCTCTCTCAACTAGAAATTAGCTTATAATGGGAAATATCTTGCCTACAAGCATTATTTAAAAGCTCAGAACTGGGGCTGGGGAGATGGTTCAGTAGAATAAGCGCTTGCCTACCAAGCGCAAGGACCCAAGTTCAATCCCTGGTTCTGCCAATAAATAAATAAATAAATAAATAAATAAATAAATAAATAAGTAAATATAAAAGCTCAGAACTTACTGCTATAAATAGTACTGAGCATTCATTGTGCAGTTATTGTGTGATAGCAACTGAGATAAAAGCTCTACATTTGTTATGCTATTGACCTAATGTGGAACTGGTATTGTTTTCTTTTTAAAATTTTACTGTGAAAAATTTACAACATACAGAGAAGTAGAAACCACAGAACAACAAGCATACATATAGACACTATATAGATTAACAATTGATATTTTACAATATTTTCTTCTTTGCATTTTTTCTTTTTTTTTGGCTAAACCACTTTAAAGAGTATTATATCATAACACTTCAGGTCTAAATTGTTCAGGATCAACTTCCAAATGGCATTCTACTATGTAACTACAATACTATTTTAGTATTTAGCAATACTAATAATTCCTAACACTTCAGTCCATACCATATTCTCCCAGTTGTCCTAAAAATGTCCTTGATAGCTTTTCTTCATACTAGGAAACAAAAACCACAAATTATGTTTTCTTTCTCGAGATTTTTAATCTTAAGAAATTGGGCAAATTTTCTTATAAAGGTAATCCCTCCCCTCTTTTTTTTTTTGTATTTAGTACAGGGTCTAACTACACAGATCAGACTAGTAGTGATTCTCCTGTTTTTAGGCTCCCAGGTGCTGGGGTTACAGGCACATGCCACCATGCCTAGTCTCAATTGCCATCTCAGCGGCACGCTAGGAATAGAACCCTGGTGCCTGCATCTGTCTGAGTAGGCACTTTAATCTAATGAACTATCTGGCTGGCCCTAAGTTACTCCCTTTTTAAAAAGCCTTCCTAACTACATAATCTAATTTTGCATATAGGGAAAAAAAAGTCTGACTATCAGGAGTACACTAGTATTTGACTTTGGGAGCCAGGAAAATAATTTACCACAGAATTTAAGCAGATAGAGGTAACTATGAACCAAGTGTCTCTTTGCTATTTTTACAAGCAATAAATTAGGTGACTAAACCAACTTCAAAGTCAAAGTTAAGAAATGATGTCCTGAAAGTGTTATTAATTAGTTTTAGCTGTGGTTTTTAAATAGTCTAAAGGCCACTAATGGACAAAAACAGAGATAAGGGTTTTGGGGGGGGGGTACTGGAGCTTGAGCTTGCCAGGCAGGCGTTTATGCTGCTGAGCTATCTCCCTGGCCTTATTGTTTTTTTAAGAGAAGAATATATTTATCAGGGGAAATAGCTTCTCTCCGAGGGACAGAAGGGCACCTGAGTGGGTTGCCCAAGAAGGTTATTTACAGTGAACAAAAAGTAATACAATGTTAAGACTCTTGCTTATATTCTTTAAAGTTATAACTTTATAGGACACTTTAATAGTAATAAAATAGTGTACTGAAGACGTATTTGCCTAAATTGTGTGCACTTTGAATGTGTTTTAAATTATGAGTTTCTAAATGAGTAACTTTATTTGGACTATGACGTTCCTAAAACGTAGAGATGATGTTGCACCCTCTATCAAAAAGTTTCAAACAGTAATTAACATACAGACTCTGAAGTTTTTTTGTTGCTTTGTTCTTGAGGGGGAAGTATTAAGTCCATATTGATTAACTTTGAAAATATTTTATTTCAAATATCTAGATCTCCCATGTAGCCACCAGGTACACATGACTTCTTTAATTAAAATGAAGTTTAAAATTCACTTTCTCAGTTACCCGAGGCACAATGGAGTCAGTGCTCAGTAGCTACATGAGGCTTATGGTTGTCTTATAAGCCCCAGATGTAGCCTAGTCACTGAAAATCCTACTGTACCAGCCCTGACTTAACTACTTCATGTGTGTACATTTACTTTTCAAAGACAGAGTAAACTCTTGAAAGGTGAGCACTCTCCACTTATTTTACATACAACATTGAAAACAGGAGAGTTCTACACAGGTTAAGTGAAATATCTTATAGAAAAGGCAGAGGGAAAGGCATTCTTGGAGGCATTATTCATCTAAAAGAAGAAAACACATTAGAGATGGACAGTTTGGATTCAGATGACTTTACATCATACACAGACTAACATTTTCAGATAAACTTTCCAGTAACTATAAAGTTATTGGGCATCTGTCAAATGCCAAATTTAACAGTGTTTCTTAGGACATTTGATTTTTTTAAAAAAGTAAAAATAAATAATATGAGAGTAACACCACAGCCAGTACACAAATACGGCAAAAACTGTTAGGTGGTAAGTCAGTGTGATGTGTGGAAAACACCAGAATAGTGTCAAGAGTCTAAGCATTCTACAGATCTGGATTCTGAACCTGATCCTGAGTGAGGCTCAGTAGAACTCATTAGTATCCTACTTGTGTTCTGAATAATCTTGGGCAAGATTTTAACTTTTGTGGAGCGACATGTCTTTACAATGTAGTAGACTGAACAGGATTACTCCTTCTAAGCCTACTCAGTTACCTAACTACTGAGCCACAAACTACTCACCTGGGGCTTCAGTGACCACCTTCTCAAAGGCAATGGTGGAATACATAAATGAGAAAGCTAAGGGAGAAGAAAGGAGTCCCGAAGATCACAAAGAACTCAATTCGCCACTCAGGACCTTGCTATGGTAGAATAGTGTGGCTTTCGGTCCTTTCTCACCTGACCACTCCTTTTTGATGTGGTATTTTAAACACTGATCCACAGTAAGGACATAGACAGTTGCTCACCCTAGATGCTAGGTAGGTAATGCGATGCTCTCTCCCAAGGCACTTTACATAACTTCATTTTCCCCACATCTTGAATGCAGTTAACTGACCCTCTATCAGACAATGATCCCTGCAATTAAAAGGGTTAAATACTGCGAAGTCCCCAAAGGAACTCCAAGGTCGGTTCCCTCTCCAACTCCAGCCCTCTGGTCTTTGGTCTTGCTAATGGTTCTGTGTTGCCTGCAGAGCTGTCACTTCCTTCTCTCTCGATAAGATTTGTTCCTGTGAAGGCAGGACTGGTGGTCTCTAAGGATATTTGATTTCCTCTGACCCCACACCTCTGTCTCCCTGGGGATACTTTGTTTACGCAAGTGTTCCAAGCACTCCCCGTAATGCCCTGGAAGTACAGGAATGAGAGTAAGCGGTCATGGATCTTGACAAAACTCTAACGGACTGCAGGGCCTCCCAAAGGATAAGTTCCAGAACCCACGGGAAACTGACCTGCGAAGGAAACAATGGGACTGCTGTCCAGGAGGAGCTGGAAGGAAAAGATGCCCAGACGGCAAAGTTACACCCCCTGGGCTCCCAAACGCGGCCGCTCAGCCCCCTTTCCCATTCCAAGGCCTCCCCCTAGCCTTGAGTATTCCTCCAAAAGCCTGACACGTACCACCCTCACCCCCACCCGCGTCCACCCCCACACCCCCCCAACACACACACACACACACCTCGCTTTCTCTCAGTCGTGGAACTCTCCAGGCCTTTTTAAACACCAGGAGGATGTTGAACAGAAGGCGGAATCAGAAGCGCTGAATGGCCAATCTTAGAGCGGAAGGTCGGGAGCCCAGCACCAGAAAGCCCCGCAGCTTCCAGAAGCCCGCCCCTTCCCAGGAGACCGCCCCTTCCTGTAGGCCTCAAGAGCCACTCATTGCTTGCCAGGCTATGATTGAGGAAGTGGGGAGGGGGAAGTGAGAAGGGGAGAGGCGAGGAGGGGGCGGGGCTGTGCTAGCTGAGACGTAGGACTCTGCAACTGCCACAAGCATCGGTCTCTACCAGCTGGCGGAGATGGGACAGACCTAGTGTGGGACGGTGTGAGGCTTAATTCCAGAAGCTACCTTCCTATGAGAGTCTCCGGCGGCTGTTGTCCCTGGCGGCTGCAAGGAAACACCGCACCGTCTCTGCGCTGCGTTTGGACCTCTGGTATCTTGCTCCTATTAGCACCTTGCAGCCGTTTTTCTATATGAAAGAACAGCCAACAGCTGACTTTTGGAAGGTGCTGGCGCCAGCCTTATCACTGTATTTTTCTCTTACTTTGACCTTTTAAATTGAGAAACAGAACAATTATATTCTCGAATATAAAACAAAAATAAGTATACCTTTTCAATAGACACGTCATCATTAATGCAAAGAGAACAGTACCAGGCCTTTCCAGGTATACTGAGGCAACCACTAACTTTTTTTTAAAGTTTTTTTTTCCGGAACCGGGGATTGAACTCGCCCTTGCACTTGCCAGGCAAGCGCTTATCCTACCGAGCTATCTCCATGGCCCCAATCGCTAACTTCTTATGACGTTTCTGCAGCATTGCACAACAATACAGGAAAAATGGTCTTTCCAATGCAAGCTTTCTGACAATATTGAGTATCCTGATAAAATATGAACCTTTCATCACAAAAATCAGTTTCAGATGGTTTAAAGACTTAAATGTGAAATGTTAACTGTAAGGCTTTTAGAACATAGGGAAATATCTTTTGAGCTTAAGAATTAGGAAGTTTTTCTTAAACATAGTAATTTAGGCTACAAAGTACATTTTGTGTCATTTCGGAATATTTTCAGTTGGCTTGTGTTTTACTTAATAGCAATCAATCACACAAATCCTAAATATAGTAATATTTCTTTCATTTATTTATTTATTTATTTTTATTTTTCAACAAATAATACACTGCATATATTCTTCTTAGTGGTTAATTGCTGTACAAGATGCGGACTTGT